ACAGTATGTAGAGTTTATAAATTTTATAAAAAGAAACTAGCTATCACCCTCTACTATGTCCGCGCAGAATTAAAAAAAAACTTAATTAGTAGTTTATTTGTACTGCAGAATATGTTCTATATGTATGCCAAATTTCATCAAGATCCGTTCAGCCATTTTGGAGATACATTCAAACAAACATCCATCCATCTAAACATTCGCATTTATAATATTAACATAAGATACGGTGGATAGCAAAGTTCAGATGAAATGCTCCCCTGTCTCACAATTTAAATGCGACAATAATAAATCAAGACGATTACAGCAAATTACGAGTGTCACAGATCCCAGATATAAATATAAAAGCCGTTTGAAGTTGAACAAAGAGAAATATTTCCTTTAACATACGTTTACTTATTCAAATCATGTATATGTTTAAATATATCTTTACAAATGTTTATTAAAGCGATATATAAATATTAATTAAAAGACAAAGTATATTCGCTCCGAAGTTACACCATATCGAACTTTAAAAATGAATGGAACTGATGCGCGACAATCATGTGACTTCATCATAATCAGCTTAGATTTATCCACTGCTGGATGTAGGCCGGATGCCCGGTCCTGTGGCGCCCGCATCCAGTGCACTCCCGCAACCTTGACTACGTCATCGGTCCATCGTACGGGAGGCCTATCTACGCTGCGTCGACCCGTGAGGTGACGTATCATGTAACTTATCCAAAGTTATTGTCAGTTCTATACATTTTTGAATTTCTATTATCTATTATCATACCTAAAAGAACTATTATTAAAAATAATGATAATTAATCAAAGTCTACATCTTACTAATATTATTATGAGAACAAGTCAAAAACAAAAATTTCCATGAGACTTTTCCTTCCTTTCATTGAGTATTATCTCCATGAAAACATCTAGTTTTATTCCAACATTATTTCTAATAATATTCAGTTTTATTCATAGCAATTCAGTTAACATAATGAATACGTTAAAACTTAAATTATTCGAGACAGAATCATGGTAATGCGCTCTGTCAGTCACAAACTGCGCAGTTTGCATGTTTCCTACTTCATCAAATGGGCGCTTCTGGGCAGTATGCCAACTATTTATTGTAATACATTTAAATAAAGTTAAAACTCTTATTAAGATGAACAATACTCATTGAAATTTAACTAACTTTACTGATTTCATATGTTACTAGTGACTCCGTCCTTGTGAAAATAAAAAATAAAAACTCAATTAGTAGCCTATGTGTTCTTCCAGGCTGTGTTCTACATGTATGCCAAATTTCACGATCCAGCGTACTATTACTTCTATAATAAACAAATATAATTAACTTAAAACGTGACTGAATATCGTGACTCGTTAACTACGTTACTAACTCACGAGTTCTTAACAAAAATAACTTTTGTTAACTTCCCCGAATCCTTGTACAGTCAACTACATAAATAAGTCGCACGCAACTCCGTTCGCGCCGAATTAAAAAAAAATTATTAGTAGCCTATGTGTTCTTCCAGGCTATATTCTATATATATGCCAAATTTGAACTAGATCGATGCAGCCGTTCTGGAGATAACTTTAAACAAACATCCATCCATCCATCTAGCCATCTATATATTCGCATTTTTAATAATATTAGTGAGATATACAAATCTTCAGAAACTTATATACTCTTTTCATAAAATTTGTATTCACTCACCCATCTATATGATCCGACCTTGAATACGTCACGGACAAATATTTATTGTAAACGTATACAATGTGATGCAGCTGACTGTACACTCACAATCATCGAACAAAAGTTGTGAAGTCATTAATCATTTTGTTGTAACAATGTACCAATAGATGGCGTTGTATCGACCTTGAAACTAATTTCGACCTTCAAGGAACTATGAGTGCTAACGAATGCATTATCTTAAAGTTTTGATGTAATTTATTCTATGATTATTTTTCTTGACAGTAGTTTGTTTTGGAGAATTAAACGCTAATTTTACAAGCTCGTATTTTTCTTGTTCATTATTATTAAGTTATGTTTATAAATTGCCAGTGTAACATGAACTGACCAAGAAGGTTACATATTTAACTAATTGCCAACTGAACTATTTAGCTTATTTACAAGTGGATATGGAATCTAGGCACTGACCTCTATAAATGTATTGGCTTTAAGGCGTAGTCTTTTGTGCCTTGGAATTTCGCCATTTTGGGATTGATTGTAACGGTTTATAGCGATGATGATTCCAACTAATTTAAATAGAAATATATTGATATTAAATAGATCTATACTGAGAGAATTAACTGTCACCTATTATCAACAGCGGGGCTTGATAAACTGCATACGTTTCGAAGCTATTCTATACCAATCCTCAAAAATGTATAGAACTGACGTGTGACAATCATTTGACTTATCCAAAATGAACTCTATTAAATTTTGAAGTTCGCTATGGAATCGCTTCCAAGCGAATGGACTTTGTCTAACTGTCTTTGTCATTTCCAAGCAATCGCCTATCCATTTAAAGAGATTAGTGATGCTGGGTGATATGCATATAAAAAGGAAATAGGTAAATTCTAATAAAACATTCACTTTAGTAAAAATCAATTTATTTATAAAAACTTAAAGCTAAAAGAACAAGAGTTGTATATAATGTATATAATAGACTATTTACATTAATACATAATATAGATTCAGTGGGCCTATCACGAAAATCTGACAATTGCGTTTGTATCGCCATCGACAATTGTGAAAATTAGTATGAGATATTTGATGTACTCTCATCAACAGCGCACTATACGTCCCCACTGAGGGGCTCGGAGCCTACCCTAAGTTAAGGGTGATTAGGCCATAGTCAACCACGCTGGCAAAGTGCGGGTTGGTTGACTTCACACATATCTTTGAATTTCTTCTCAGATATGTGCAGGTTGCATCACGATGTTTTCCTTCACCGTAAGAATGTCGGATAAATGTACATATGTAAATCAGAAATCGAAAAACACATTGGTGCATGGCGGGATTCGAACCCAGGACCTGCAGATTGCAAGTCAAGTGCTTGACCCCTGAGCCACCGACTCCGATGTACTCTAAGCTGCACGAATTTTAATACAAAGTACATAAGGCCCACTAAAACAAATAATAATCTTAACTTATTTTTTATAATATACGATAGAATTCAATAAAGAAATAATTTTTCCACATCTCTATTGTTGCGTTTGAATCCAATTCATGTATTGAAGCAGATCTGTATAAAATACGCCATTGTTGTAACAAAATCCTTTCTTACTGGGATCACCTGTTCTTA